TGACCCGTTGTTCTGTGATGTGTAGTCTCTCCTGCTGCTGGGCTGCTTCGCCCTGTTCTGGTCGCTGTACTACACTCTGGAAGTGACCCTCACCCACTGGGACTGGCGTGGCTGTGCTGTGGCCGGGGGGGCGAGAGGCCGAGGACTGCAGGCCGGATCCATAGGCCTAGAGGACAGTCAAGTGGTTGAGATCCAGCCCGAGATGGACAGCGAGTCCAAAGTCCCCCTCATTGCTGCTGATGAGAACACGTAGCACTCCTCGGTTCTCCTCGCTCTCGTCTCCTAGTCTCCATTTCTTCTGTCTGGAGTTTCAGGTTGCACTTTGCTTTTGTTTGAGCATGTGAGCAAACGCTCTATATTGAGTTGCCTTATTTTTTGATTTATTTGCTGATATGTTCTTGGCAATGCTACCTTATAAGAGTGCCTGATAAAGTGAGTGAGTCTTTGCCGTATTTGAAACAGTTATTGCATATAAGATTGGCTGATTGCTCTATTGAAAGAGTGTGTGTGTTTGGTGACGGCTGCGTGAAAGATATGTTATGGAGTTTAATATAATTCATTTTTTATTTTTTATTTCTTGGTCATGATTCATTGAATGTGTCACGATTGGATAATTTCAGAGTATAAATACCTACAACACTTGAATTTTGAAAAAAGGAAAGAGATCGGTAACACTTTATTTTGATGGTCCCTTTTGAACTTCTGTTGACTATGAGCAAGTTAACGTAGCTGAGAACAGTGCCGCTGCTAGCCATTTTGGTGCCCTAAGCATAATTCCTTTATGATGTCCCCCCGCCCCCCCTAAAAAAAAAAAGAATTTTTATTTAGGATTTTCATTTAGGGGGGCTAAGCCCCCAATGAGGGTATGATTTATAAAAAAATTAAAAAGCTAAAAAGTAACACTTTAGATTAAGGTCAAATGCTTACTATTAACTAGTTTCATTACCATGCAATGGCATGGTTTTATAATCACTGGGATCCCGAATTTGAGGCAGGTTAGTTAGGGGTGTTCGGGGGAAATTTGGGATTTTTCTGAACTACAGATGTGCATTTTAAAGATGTTGTGAAGGCAAAAAAAAAAAAAAAAAAAAAAAATTCGATAACAACAGCTTTAAAACTATGTCAGTGGGCAGCTGATTATTTTTCTCTCCTCATCAGCATCACACTCTTTTTCTCTTTGTTTTTATCTTGCCCTGTCTCTTCCCCTCCTAAAGTTGGCTTTTTTAATTTACTAAAGGTTACAATTTGTATTTTATTCTCAATATGTACACATTCATTATAAATCCTGTGCCTAACATGATGAAAACGGCTTTGTTCATGTTTCTTGTCCCCTCACAATGACAGTAGCCTAAACTATTACACTAGGCTACATGTTACATATAGGCCTATTTTCAGTTCAAAATGGCGAAATTAGACAAAACTATATTAGCTTGCCTAATTATTTTTTGTCATTCGTTTAACATTTATGACCTAAAAAAAAAACTGTCAAATAAAGTTAAGTTTAGCTACTTACATCTTATCTCGCACTTGACCGTACACTGAAGCGTCGAGTTGCACTGTTAAAATTCGCGCTCAGCGTCTGTGAACATAAAGCCCGCCTACTTTGATTTGATTGGTCATCTCAAATATTCTGACATTGACGAGCAGTGACAGACCAATGATGAACACACACATGAACACATCACACACACACACACACCCTGTCCTGTGTTTCTGACGTGCTCTCTGTCTCTGCTCGGCGCCGCTGCGGAATGAAGAGGAAGAACGCGCTGAATCTGATTATAACAAGAAGTTTGATGATTGGTTTTTCATTAGGCTATTTTTGGTGCCCCCTCAGCACTTGGTGCCCTACGCACAGCGCGTGATGCGCGTGGTGGGAGCGGCGGCGCTGGCTGAGAAGTTATAGTAGACTGTCTGCTTTATAAAGTGCTCGTGATGCTCCTCCAACAGAGATTCTGCTGACTGTAAGGCACATGTCAGCTTATTCAACATGTGTCAGTCATAGTAGAGTCAGTCTACTAACACTCGAACTACAGTTCCTTTACATGTAGTGCAACGCTACTTCAGTCGACGAATGTGTTAAAGGGACCACCAAGATAAAGTGAAACCCAGAGATCGTTTAAAGCTGACGTCTGCTTAACTGCAGTTGTTTTACTGATTTTAGCCAGTTTTTTTTACACTGAACTGTGGTATTTTTGTGAACAAGAATTCAGATGTGGTTTAAATAAAAACAAAAAGGGAAAGTGTTTCAGCGTCTTTTTTACCATGGGTTGCAATAATATGCGCTCACAGACATGCTCTAAAAATCAACACAAAATTATAATAATTACTTCTGTGATGAGATGAGTGAAGCCTACTTGGTTTTTTTGTCTGTGAGTAATTTGATTGGTTGAAGTCTTTCTAATAAAAAGGGTTCTGTGACTGGCTAAAAAGAAAAGACATTTTAATAAGTAGAGCAAGTTAAGTTTGATGAAAGATTAGTGCCCGGTTTTACAAACAAGGGTTAAGCAAACCAAAGATACTTGGATGTTTTGCTCTACAACGTAAAATACTCTATGAAATCTTGAATTTTGAAGCTGTTATGCCGGTTTTAAAGGCAAGGGTTAAGCCTAGTCCCAGACTAACATGCATGTTGGAGCTCTCTTAACAGAAAGCAACACTGACAGATCTCAACTTGAGAACCTTTTTTTTGAAGCCCAAAAAAGCACATCCATCCATCATAAAAGTAATCCATACGGCTCCAGGGGGTTGATGAAGGCCTTCTGCTGTGAGGTGATGCGTTTTAAAATCCATATTTATAACTTTATAAACTATAATCACTGGCTTCCGGTAACTGGCGTACGAGAGTCTTGTTCCGGTGGAAGAGTGACCTCTGACCCGATGCATGACGTAATGACGAACACGGTGAACTAACCCTTTAATTTAAGTAATAAGTTCTGTCTGTGAAACTGGACCTAAGGCTTTTTGTATGGGGTTTATATTGATTCTATGTGGGTTCTATCAAGCTCGCCTTCAGTGGACTACTTTACACTAATAGTTCAACATTATTCTTAATGAAAACACAACAACAAAGCAGTGACAAACTCGCTTATATTAAACAGAACTTTAATGAAGAAAATGAATAGGCATGTAATGCATCATGCTGATAATTGAGATCTGACTGCTGTTCTGTGTTGTGACTCGTTCGGCTCACGCACACACGCTCAGTTTTTAATTGTAGTGTCTGTTCTCTAACTGAACTAAACTATTTTTATTACTATAAAAATCTGAATGACGCTGGGGGCGGTGCCAGGGTGGGCAAGTGATGCATTCGGTGTGTGGCTTAACACCGGTAACAGAGCAAGCCTACTCCCTTTAAAAAAAAAGAAAGAAGAAAAAACAGGGTTTGAGCTGCCTCCCCCAGAATTCAGCAGACTTTAAGGTTTGGCAAGCTGCCCTTTTGAGCCTTAGGACTGAGGGAGGCGTTTACTTCCAGACCATTTTGAGTTTTAAAGCAGGGATCCATGCCCCCTTCTTAAAGCCTCAGTTATCCTTACACTTGATCTTTAAATAAAGTAGTGCGAGCAAATCTACCTGGAGATGAGTTCATTACAAGATCCGTGCGATTAAGTGATTACCAGAGGAGGATCCAAAAACTTTACTCAAGTAAAAGTACAAGTACTTATAGAAATACGTACTCTCAAGTAACTAATTAAGATTATTACTTTTACTTTGATTTAGAGTAAAAAAAAAAATAATACTCAAGTAGCTAATTAGGTACTTCGGATCATAGGCCTATATACAACGGTTCTTTCTGGTTCTCAATTCTGATTGGCTGAGAGCCTTTTCTAGCCGTGCGATATTTGCGCAGTAACAGCACAGTAACTGTTTCACCGTTTGTATCACTCCGCTTGCGGCGACTGTCATGGCGGTCGAGCAAATCCACCATATTTTTAATAAATAAAATACTACTGTAGTTGTGTCACGAAATGTAGTTTTAAGAGTTTTTTAGGCGAAAATGTAGCTATTTAGGCCTCAAATATGTGACTAATATATAATCTTAGTGCCTATTTTACGATCTGTTGCGGCACTTTCACAGATGTGAGCTCCAGGGCGTTAGTGGGCGTTCAGTGCTTACGTTCCGGCAGAGAACAGCCTCATCTCGGCCAGTCCTTCGGGAATTTGCCACTGGCTCTTATGTAGATAGTGGTTAAACATGAGATATAATTCATTTGAGGTATATCACACGGGCGATCTTTGGTCTTTTTAATCAATTACTTGTTTGAGAGCAATCGATTTTGGTTGAGGGGCAAATTAAGTTTCATAACTACACTCACCGGCCACTCACGGGCCAGATTGGCTGACCCGTACACGCTCACTCAATGGATGGACGATCTGACAGGATTAACGCTAACGCTACCTCCGGTTGAGTGGCTTGACTTCTACACCTATCCGATAGAGAAAGCGAGCGTAAAGAGAAACTGAGGGCACATAAATCTTTAGATGCCTATAACTATGTGCTGAATGGTCATGTACAAGACTTGTGTGTGCGATCCGCAGTTCTGCCGAGCCAGCGCCGAGAAGACGACAACGTAAAGAGTGACATTACGGTGCAATTTTAATGATGTGAATATTTTCTAGACATAAAAATTCCAGATACAGCATATTCATTTTTCATCGATTCTTGCACCCAACAACACAACAATGACATTTAATAACAATAATAATAATTTAAGCTCCTTATGATGTAGCCGAATCTGTGCTGGTTTGTATTAGCCGCCTCCAGTTGTCCGTTTGTTTTGCCTCCAGCTAGCGCCGTGACGTAACTGTGACGTCGGCACAAAAGGGGTCTATATAGGGCATCGGATAAGTAAAAAGAAATCGCTAGTTAATACCACTAACAAGGCTCAAAATAGCCCCACACTAACACGCTAGCATAATGATGGTCCCTACCTGCAAACTGAAGCATTCAGAACGTTGTACGTGTACAGACAGTTTAATAAGAAGATACTTTATAAAGA